CCATGGATGGGAAAACTGAGTTAGTTTTCGTGCCTGGTGGAGGAGGTTTAACGGCGGATCGTTACATCAGAGACATTTTGAAGGAACATGTGGTTCCATACACGGGATTTATTGGCGATGCCTTTATTTTAATGCACGATAATGCATGATGTCATATCGCACGGGTCACCACCACCTAGCTGACTGAGATAGGTATATTTACAATAAATTCACCTGCGTTGAGACCGGACATAAATCCAATAGAGCATGTTTAGGATAAGCTTAAACGAAGGGTCCGTGACAGAAATCATGCACCAAGGAGCATAACGGAATTGAGATCTGCGCTTAATTATGAATGGGGAGCAATGCCTCAAGAATTTATTAGAAAAGTCATCCGATCCATGCGAAATCGATTAAAAAGTGTAATTAGGAGTCTTCTTCTTCAGCCTTCATTTATCCATTGTTGGACATAGGCCTCCTCAAATTGCTTCCACGCTTCCCTATCTTTTGCGATTCTCATCCACTGTTTTCCAGCTACAGCTGTTATATCGTCTATCCATCTCTTTTTGGGTCTTCCCACGCTTCTTTTTGTTTCTCGAGGTCTCCAGAATGTCACTTTATGAGATCATCTGTTGGTGTCTTGTCCTGCTACATGTGCTACCCATTGCCATCTCAGTGTCGCTATTTGTCCCATGATGTCGGTTACTTTAGTTCTTCGATGTATTTCGGTGTTAGGAATTTTGTGCCTGAGGCTTATATTTAACATGGCCCGTTGAGTTACTCTTAATTGTTCTGTCATTTTTCTTGTTATTGCCATAGTTTCCAATCCATAAACTGGTAGTATACAAGTGGCATAGGTTTTTCGTTTTAAGTGAATTGGGATTTTTCTGTCTTTTAAAATGAAGCTCAACTTACCAAAAGCAGCCCATGACAATTGTGTCCTTCTTTTAATTTCTAATTTTCCTTTTAGTTTTTAATTACATGTCCTAGATATATATATATATATATATATATATATATATATATATATACAAATAACACAGTTTATTAGGGGTTGCAGTCAGTCTGACTGCAACCCTAATAAACTGTGTTATTTGTTTATATCGACAGTCAATAATATCCAGTATTTCTTGTATATATATATATATATATATATATATATATATATATATATATATATATATATATATATATATATATATTGTTCTACCTTTTCTATATTGATGTTATCTATCGTGATGCTGTCTAGGCTGTTGCTTAATATCTTTGTTTTGTCGAGATTCATTTTTAATCTTATTTGATTCAGTTTGTGATTTAAATCTTGTAGCATTGATTTTAGTTCATGGATATCTGTGCTTATTAGTACTATGTCGTCTGCAAAACGCAAATGGTTAAGATATACTTCATCTACTTTTAATCCTTTTTCGGCCCAATTTAGTTTTTTGAAAACATTTTCTAATGCCAAAGTAAATAACTTGGGTGAGATGGTGTCGCCCATTTCTCGATACTATCGCATGCTTTGTGATAATCGACAAATGCCAGATGTAGTGGTATGTTGTACTCTATTGTTTTTTCAATAACTGTCCGGATTGTTTGCAAGTGATCGATAGTGCTAAACCCTTACGAAAGCCTCCTTACTCTACTGGTTGGTATGCACCTAGTTTAGATGTCAATGTGACAATAAGCTTATTGGTCGGTAGTTTTCTATATTTGCGGCGTCTCCTTTTTTATGGAGTAGAATGACTTCCGCATTTTTCCATGCCTTTGGTATTTGTCCTTCCAATAGGCATTTATTCAGTAATGCTCTCATTGCCTCTTCTAATGCAGTGCCTCCCATTTTTAGCATCTCCGAAGTAATTTTATCTTCTCCTGGTGTTTTCCCATTTTTCATTTGTTTTAGGGCGGCTCTAATTTCTTATTATTTCAGGGAGATCCTCTGAGCCCACATTTAAGATATGTTTTGTTGGTATACCAGGGTTCGGAATAGTAGAAGTATAGAGCTTCTCATAAAATTTTTGGATTTCTCTAACGATCTCTTTCTTATGCGAGCACAATGTTCCACGGTCGTCTTTTATCTTTATGATTTTATTCCTGCCAGTGGATTTACATGTTTTCAGTACTTTCATGTTATTGTTCTCTATGGTTTCAAGAATCTGGTTTGTTCTATAAGCTCTGAGGTCTTTTCGAATATTTTTCTTAACACTTTTGTTGAGCGCTTTATAGTCCGGGTTATCTCTGTTCGTTCTTCTTCTTTTCTCTATCTGTTCTAGAGTCTCGGGTTTTAGTTTAGCTTCTTTTTGTTTTCTTATTCTGCAACAAAGTTTCTTAGTGACTGTTGGTATGTCTTTAGTTATTTTCTCAACTAGTTCATCTATATTCTTGTGCTCAAAGGTATTTGCTACTAGTTTCCGTGCTAATTCCTCTTTATTACTAGCTAGGATGTCTGCCGTCGGTAAAGGGTTTGTTGTTAATAGTTTCCGTCTTTCTCTCTTTACGTTAATACGTATATCAGCACGAACTAGTCTATGGTCACTGCCGGTGTTAAATTTGTTCAACACCTCGATGTTTTTACATATTGATCTATCACTGGAAAGGATAGAATCTATTTTTCTTAACCTGACCTTCAAGGCTACGCCATGTCCACTTTCTTTGTATTTGTTTTTTATAGAAAGTGTTCAGGCAAAACATTTTGTCGGTGCTTACGTAATTTGCTAATGTCTCTCCTCTGGTGTTTTTCTCACCTAGACCTAAATTTCCTATGTAGTCTGAGTCGCCTGGTAATCGCCGCCCTATTTTTGCATTAAAATCTCCGGTGATGATAACATACTGTGTTTTTCTAGGTCTTTAGCTCGCGTTATATCTTCGTAGAGTTGTTCTATTGACTCGTCATCCGCAGTGGAAGTTGGAGGATACCAGTGTATTATCTGCAAGCTATATCGTTTATTCAGTTTTAATACAAGATATATCACTCTTTCCGACACTGCTGAGTATTTCAAAATCTGGTGTTCTATTCTTCGGTTGACCATGAAAACCACTCCTCCTTGGCCGTGGTTCTCTTCTGAATTATAATTGGTATAGAGTGTGCCCAGATTTTAGGGTGGTCTTTTTCTCTCCTTGAAGTCTCGTTTCACATAAGCTTACAATATCCCATTTAATAGCCCCTAGTTCCTGCTCTAATTCCTCTAGATGGTCGTTCGTTCTCATGGTTCTAATGTTGTATGTAGCAATTTTAAATTTTTGAGAATTAATTTGTTTATTTTTGTCCTGTATTTTCGATCTCCTGCCTCCTCCAGAATCCGTGGGGCAGTTCATATTGGAGTGGGATTCTGAGTTATAAACTCTACCCACCTGGGGTACTATATTTTTGAATCTCGGTTTATGCATGAATGTATTGAAGGGAATTAGGAGTAGGAGTGGTAATATCAAATACTGAAAAATGAAAAGATCATTTTGTAATTGATGCTTTCTCTGTTCATAACGTCTTTCGTGGGTTAGTTCCAATGATGAATATACTCTGTTCGTATTGCATATTGTTTTTGCAAGTAATCGTCTTCCAAGTAATGCAATAGCAGTTTTTCTAAGGTTGTATAATAAAGTTGTTTGCACATTACATCTTTTTATTTTCATACTTCTTACATTGAAAGATGTAAGGTTTTTCACTCAAGTGTACATAAATCTGGCTCCTTACTCCCAGAAATCAACAGAAGAATGAAGTTTCTTGTTTTGCTTGGGAACCTTTTGGTAAAAATATTCAAATCCAAGATGTCACTCCACCTGAAGAACAAAGCATTCGATCAGTGTATACTACCAATCATTACATACGGCTGCGAAACTTGAGACATTAAAGACAGAGATAATAGCGAAACTCAAAGATCAATGGAGCGATGTATACTAGGGATAACAAAGAGAGATAGAAAAAGAGTAAAATAAATCAGACAGAAAACCAAGATCACTAATGTAATCCACAGAATTAAATCTTTAAAATGCCAGTGGACGGGACATTTAGCGAGAAGAGACCAAGAAGACGTCCAAATTTCAACTTTAAGATATGACTATGACATAAGGAAACAAGTCGGTACAGCATGGTACAAAAAAACGAATATTAGACAATCGTGGGTAGAAATGAAGAACTACTATGTAACAGAGGCTGCACCATAGCTCCTTGTTATAAAGATAATTTGTTTATACATACGCTGTGTTTCACGGGCAATGGCTTACATAATTTAAAACTGCAATGTAAGAACTCGCCACTCATGAACTAGTTTAATAAACTCGCAATTGTATATAAATTGGATACCACTAATTCACAAGGGAATTATTATATTTCTGTAAGCAGAGTATGGGACACTTGGGCTAAACAGGACGGGTCATTTGAACTACTCTGCAACCGACTACGCAGGTTTACCGACCTACGTCAACATACTGTAACACTGATATGTACCTACGTAACTATTCAAATAAATGTGATTAAAAATTTGTCGCCTCAAATCTCACACCTGCTCCCAACATTACTAGCTTAATGATGTGAATATTTCCACCACTTCAAATCAGATATCAACAGTGACTTAGTGCCCAATGTTTATGACTCTACTGTTGGGTGCTAATACCATCATTTTCGCTCTTCTTCTATGTATTTGTAGGTCCGCATTTTTTTAGTTATTTGAGAAAATGTTTTACATTTCTCTGTCGCAGTCCGATATGTTTTTCAAACGCTTGTGATTGTTCATCCAATATTTCTACTTTGCAAACAACTTTACGATTTTCGGAACTAGTATTATAATAAACAGAATAAATATCTGCCTCATAATTCTAAATATATCCGGATATCTGAAAAAAAAGTCAGTTATCAAACTTGTGGTGTCTTCGATTTATGAGAATATTTTAAACTATGGTTTTCTAGGAATAGCAGCATAACGAAGTGGCAGGAAGAGCGGACCAGAGAATGAATCACAATAAAGAATTACGTTTACGTATTTCACTAAAAATGAAATGCCGTTTTTTCTCATAGTAAAATACACATTATTTGGATAGTTACCTTTTTAATAAACGATAATGGTAAATAAAAATTATAATTAAAATGTAATGTAATTAACATAATAAAAACTAATGATTGAGATTACAAAAAGTTCCTGTCGTTTGAGTCTACTTCTTTAATTTAGCATATACAGATGGAACAACAACTTGATATAGAGTAGTATCTTCGTCATAACTTTTAAAAGTGACATCTAATTGAATTCCTTCCGCAATGAGCAATTTTAGTTTGTCCTTAACGTCAGGTACGTCAGGAACATCTGAAAAATTAATACTGAATTTTAGATCACAGTATAACATAAGACAATAGCATAAGAATTTTACATATTATAATATTGAATAACGAGCAATCTTGTTTGATAACATAAAATAATGTCCCATTAAAAAAAAGTTGGCATCTGAGGAGGGGCATTATAATGAAATTACGTACAAACACTTGGTTATGCCTTCCCGATTACCGGGGTGTACATAATGATTCTACCTACTCCATTTTGCTCCACAACTTCTATGTGTACTAATAAAAATTTTCTGGATTGTCTTACTTTATTGCACGAGTAATAATTACCAAATAAAAAATTAATCGTTTTATAAGAATCAAACGACAAACCATTAGCAGTGTGATGGAAATAATAGTGTTGAAAAATTTATTTTGGAAAACCAAAGATAGCTGTACGGAGGATATTAACTTTCTCAGATATATTTTCCTAAAATTATGCAGCAATTCTTAATACTTTTCAGCGAAATGTTCTTATTTTTATAAAATATTTGTGCTAAGGTTCGATTCGACTTAAAAAAGTTGCAAAAAATGTTATGTTCCTTGTCCATAAAACCAAAGAATATAATAAAACGTTTTATTTACATATGTTTCGGGATACAGTAGACTCCCTCTTAACCGGTCCCGCATTAACCGGCCACTCCCCTTTCCTATTGTTTTGCGTACAAGACGATCATCAAGCGCCGCTTGACCTTGATTATCGTCTCTCGCCCTGGGTTGTTAGTTCTGTTTTTGCTTTCGAGGAGGACTGCATTCGTCTTGTGCGAAAATAGGTTAGAAGCGTAAACGTGTGGTTGTGACGATGGAAAAACGTCTAAGTGTGCTTAAATGGATCGACAAAAGTGAATCGGTAAAGAAAATTTGTTCAGCGTTAAATGGGGGGAAAAGTACAGTGAATGACTAGCGAAGGGATCGGCGTTCAATCTAAAAACTAGATACACTAAAAAAAAAAACGTAATTCGAGATAGAAGATGAAGCTCTTGAGTTGTGGTTCCTTCAAAAACGGCGAAGTGGCACACCTATTAGCGACTCGATTCTAAGGGAAAAGGCTTTATGTATACACCGCAAAATTATAGACGGAGGCCAATTTATTGCAAGTGAAGAGTTAATTATGCACACGTAAGTGGAGAAAAATGTCCGCGGACGCTTCAGGTGCAACTGATTTACTTCCAAGTTTGTAGCATTATAAAAATAGAAAAATTAAAACCCGAAAATATAACATGGATGAAACGGGAATTACGGTACAATAACCCCAATTGTCAGCGGTATTGCAATTCAATACTCCAGCCGATCAGCAGTTTCGACACATATTGCAGACAGGTTGTCATCAATTAATTTCATATAAATACTGTTAATTTTTATTTCAAAGGCAGTTGTAATTATATTAAATAAAAAGCTGTTACTCTGTTAGTTGTACCTTTAAAAGGGACTTTTTAAAAAGTACGTTCGGAAGTGACAACCCTTAATTCGGGTCTCAATTTTAAAGTGCTTCCAGAAAAAAAACATTTTTGGGAAGTCATGAAAAATTGGCTTCTGGATTTAAAAATAAAGAGCGCATTGCAGTTGCTGTTTGTTCAAATGCAGCAGGAACACACAAAATTTCTCTTTTCGTTGTTGGTAAGTCCGCTAAACCGCGTGTATTTAAAAATTTACATCCATCGTCCTTCCCCGTAGCCCAAAGATCGCAAAAATCAGCATGTATGAGCGCCGATCTATTCAAAGATTGGTTAGAGCGTGAATTTGTTCCGAGAGTGACGCGCCATCTTAAGAGCGCAAATCTTCCCACTAAAGTAGTCCTACTCTATCTTTCTTCCTCCTAATTTGACAAGCTTGGTGCAACCGATGGATCAATTGGTGATTGAAAGCTTGAAAAGATGATAGAGACGTAAATTACTATCCGAAATTTTACAATGAAAGTGAAGATCTCAATCTTATTAATATCATCAAAAAAATTAACTTAGGACGTACTTAATTTACATGTTAGTTTCCGCCTTTCAAAAAATTCCTGCTTCTACTTTCATTCAGTCTTGGCGAAATCTTTGGGCCAACATTGAGGAACTTTTTAAGTGTCAACAATCACACTAAGAAGATAATTCTACCACCATTCTTCAAGATCTCCAAACGTTATCCGAAAATGTCCAATTGTAGGCCGAAGATATTAAAGAATGGATGAACTGTGACGAGGAACTTGAAAACGAAATTTTGACAGACGACGAAATAATTACACTAGCAGCACATGAATGTTAACTATGAAAATGAGGAGACTGATGATAATGATGTTGACGGAAAGAAAAAGGATGGCCACACCAAAGCGAGGGCTGCAATGGAGGTGGCATTGAAATATATTGAACAACAACCTGGGCCATCTTCAATAGATGTCTTGGTTTTTAATAAATAAAGAGATATAGCTTTTAAAAATTCACTTATTGTCAAGAAACAGAAGAAAGCTACCGATATTTTTAAAACAAGTTTGTAAAACATTTAAATATGTATATATGTACATGGAAATAAATAGTCAATCAATTGTATACTCCGCGATCTTTATTAATATACATCTTCCTGTACATGTGTTTGATATATTATGTACGTATGTACTTAATTTTTCTCGTGAAAATGCCTGCACATCGGATTAACCGGCCAGGCTCTGGTTTCGAGGTGGCCGGTTAAGAGGGAGTCTACTGTAATTAAATCTCTAAAATGTTTATTCTAGTCACCGTTAGTTCGGAGGCCGAAGTTAATTGTGTTTTCTTTATCTTTACATGCGATCATAAATTTAGTTTTCTCTATGTTGAGCGTTAGGTCATATTCTTTACTAATTTTTACTATTTTCTAGTATTCGTCGTTCAGAAATGATGATGGTATATATCTTCATATCTGATATTGTTAATTGGAGTTTAAGAATTCTTCATCAATTTAAGAATGCTTCATCAATTTACATATTTTAAAGAATTTGTATACGTTGTACATGTTCTACTTCGTCAAGTGCTTTGTTATAATCTATAAAGCTTATACATATATACAGATGGTGCTGAACAATCTTAAAAACTGTTTTAATATATGGCTCATTTACCCTATCTGCTTGTTGTAAAAGGCGACTAAATGGAGCGGCGGTCCGATGTCCATTATCCAAGTTCCTAACCTGTTCATATGTGATAGTAAATTCTCGTAACTGTCACATGGCACCCATCTCTACCCATCATACACGTTTTGATACTTAAACCTAGAACCGAGGAGAAAACCTCCACTAATACAAAAACCAGTGAAAGAAATCACTGAGAACAAATGGATATGCATAGGGCAGGCGACTATGCATCATTCTAATATACCGCTAGACAACCAGAAGGTCATACCATCGTGCCGAAGGAGAGCATGGCACAAGGGCGACAAAGCGATGTTCAAAGGAGGACGCGGATCGGAGGGAATTATAGCCTTGGCGGAGTATGGGTGCACTGCCCTGCTGATTGTGGTATGGGAGTTTTAACAAAGGCGTACAGAAGGCAGAAGAGTCTGTTGATGGTAGCCTGTACGTACAGAACAGTGCCTGCCAAAGCGATGGGAGTTATAACCGCGTGAATTACGAAGCTCATGCTAGTGAAGGAAAGAGGAAGAGTATACGAGAAGAAATGAAGATATAACAAGAAAACGTTTTATAAAAATAAGAGAGGGATAGGCTAATTATAGTGTGGCAAGAAAAATGGGACGAGATGAGGAGGTTGGCGCAGTGGACAAAGTCGCTGATTCCTAATCTAACAATATGACACACACAGGACATGATTATTTCAGGGCATACCTTTAGAAATTCGGAAATTCAGAAATGGGCAAATGTTTGTACTACAAAATATTGCATACTGTCTCACACACTTGCGATAGATGGATAGCTGAGGGGTGCCTGCTTCAGGAAGAGCTAGAAAGATACATAAAAGACTACTGACCCAAACCAAGTGTAATCGAAGTAATGTAATTCTTTATATCTAGGTAAATTTGGCCAAAATAAAGACTTTTTGCCTCTTGGCATTTTTTGAAAAAAGTATACCACATTAATACTGAAATATATTTTTCAAATTCAATTATTTAAAAATCTATGTAATTCGGAATATAAATAAGCGCGAATTAGATTTTAAAATAATTGAAATCGCAAAATTTGGTTAAGAATTTATGTGATATAAAAACAATTTATGTGATATTTTACTTACCTACTAATTCACAGAAAACTCCCAGCATATTAATTTTTTTCAAATAAGCAGGGAAACTTCTTATATTTTCCTTAGTTGCCGTAATTAGAATTCCACAATCTACCGACGAAATCTCATAACTATTATCATCACTAGACAAAACAACCCCTCGGAACCATGTTTCTGAAAACAAAAATAGAAATACATTAATTCGTCAATTTTTTTAAACTTTAGTGAACTGGACGAATATTCTACTTTGTCACAAGAGTAAATAAATTACACTATACAGTAGAGATAAATTGATGAAGAAAAGGCTTCAATATTTGCTAGAACTTCCTTTGACGGTGGAGCTACCAATCCAAATATATTTTATATTTACAGTAATATAAAGCAATTTTTAAAGAGTATTTCTTCTTCAACCTTAAGTAATCCATCTTTGGACATAGGCCTCCCCAAAATCAATCCAGTGTCTTCTATTTTGCGCCACTTGCAGTTGTGTCCTCCGATCTTCTTAATATCATCCGCCCATCTCAGTTGTGGTCTTCCTCTGCTTCTCTTTCCTAGCCATGGTCTCCATTGTTGTATTTCGTGGTTCCATCTCTTATCCGTCAGTCGGGCATTGTGTCCTGCGAAGCTCCATTTTAATTTGGCAGCATGTTCTCCTGCGTCGTTTACTTTCGTTTTGCTTCTAATCCATTTGTTTGTTGTTTTGTCTATAAGTCTCATCCCGAGCATTGATCTTTCCATCGCTCTTTGTGCTTTTACTATTTTATCCATATTAGACTTGGTGAGTGTCCATGTCTGTGAACCATACGTGAGTATAGGGAGGATACATTGATCGAAAATTCTGGTTTTCAAATATTGTTGTATTTTAGTGCTTTTCAATATCCAACTCAGTTTTCCAAATCCTGCCCACGCTAACCTTATTCTTTTGGTAATTTCGGCAGTTTGATTTTCTTTGTTAACTTTCATTATCTGTCCCAGGTAGATGTATTCGCTTACTGTTTCTAAATTTATGTCATTTAACCTTATTTCTCTAATGCTCGGTGTATTTGTCATTATTTTTGTTTTTTTCCAAGTTCATCGTAAGACCTACTTTTTCCGAAGCTTGAAATAATTGCGTCATCATAGTCTGTAGTTCTTCTAAACTTGTAGCGAATATTACAATGTCATTAGCGTATCTTAAACGACTCAGGTTTCTTCCAATAACATTTATTCCTTTATCTGCTCAGTTAATGTCTTTGAACACGTCTTCCAGTCCAAGTGTGAATAGCTTTGGTGAGATAACATCTCCCTGTCGAACTCCTCTGTTGATTGGTATAACTTTGGTTTTCGCATCTATTTGTATTTTCATTGTAGCTTTCTTGTAAATATTATGTATGAGCATTCTGTATTGGGACTCCATCCTGCAGTTGTTCATAGCTCTCTCTATTGCCCAAAGTTTTATGGAGTCAAATTTCTTTTCATAATCAAAGAAGCCAATGTATAAGTTCAAGTGATATTCATTGGCTTTCTCTATTAGAGTTCTAACTGTAAGAAGATGATCCGCTGTACTGTAACCTTTTCCGAATCCTGCCTGCTCTACCGGTTGATAGTTATCGAGCTTCGACGTTAATCTGTTAGTTATTACTCTCATCAGAATGCTCACTCTCAGATGCCGCCTTTGAAGTTTGTCAGCACGCGAACGCCATGTTTTAGACGGAAACAGACTTGAATTGAGACATTTGTGACAAGCTACGACAGAACTGTAATTTAAATTTTTAGAGATTAATAATTTAGTACATTTAAAATAATTTAATCGATTCTTCAACTAAAAGTACGAATAAAATAGTGCATATTATGTTTGTAGTTTCCGTAAATAAATTAAACCGGGTTAATTTGTGAGCTTATAAAATACGGATCAAAGAAATTACACCAAATGGTACAATGGATATTTCAGAAAGTCATAAATAGATGTTAACCTCGCGAAAACAGAGTACCTATCTACAAGTGAAGAAGACATAGAAGATCTACAGATTTATGATAACGTAACAATCAAAGGAAAGGATAAATTCAAATACTTGGGGTTTATAATCACGAAAAAGACAACAACAGAGGAAGAAATTACACAAAGATTAGGACAAACAAGAACAACAATCCCACAACTTAACTCAGTATGGTGAGATAGACACCTAAATATGAAGATATAAACACAGAATTATAAAACATTAGTACAAAGTATTATGACATATGGAGCTGAAAACTGGATAAACTCATAAATAAGAAAAACAGTAGCAACATAGATGGGATGCCTGCGAAGATGCTGCAAAGTAACAAAAATGGGTAGGAGAAGTAATGACGACATAAAGCAAAGAACATTAATAGAAACAGACATACTAACATATAGAGAACAAAAAAGACTAAAGTGTTATGGACATATAAGAAGAACTAGCGACAGCAGATGGAAAAAGAGAATAACTGAATGGAGCACCATAGGAAGGAGGAAAAGAGGACGACCCCGAAGATCCTGGAGGAACGAAGTAGACGACGCCATGAGTAATAGAGGCCTAAACGATGGAGAATGGGACAGCAGAGAGAGATGGAAACGGTTGAGTGAGGAAAGGCAGTGAATACTGTAGAATCCCTGAATATATGTATATACCATCCGATAACTTGGACAAATTATTTTTGAATACCAATTACGATTTGGGTTTATAGTTTGTAGTTTTAATAAAAAAGTTTTTTAAGAGATTTAACTTTGTATCGATATTATTTCTGAAATTGTATGGTTGTACACTTCACTCTTATTGTCGTGTTTTATATATAATACCGCGTGTAATTTATATAATAAATGTTTTAATAATATAATATAAAAGTTAATACTAAAACTAAAATTAGTAGGAGATATATACGATATTTCGATCGTTCGGAAGAAAAGGGTTGCATCTCAAAAATGTTCATTTCTCACTTTATTTCATTAAACTGTCTAAAAAGGTGCCTACTACTAGGAACGGATTAAGTTTCGAGAGAATATTTACTACCAGCCAAAAGATATCAGCATGTAACACAGGGATTTTTGAATTTTTCATAGAATATTTTCTACAAAATCGTTATAACTCAATTTGTCATCGATATTGTGGTGTGGCAGTTAAAAAATTTAGGAGAAAAAGGTTACATTCGATATTGTTGCAAAAAGTAAGTAGTAAATACATGTAAATTTTACAACAAAACAGATACATCTCAGAATGTTACAATCTTGGATTAAATTAACTGTTATACGTTTGTAACAATGCCGCAACATTTTGTTTTGTAACAGTTTTGAACCAACTTGTTCAGTAAATTTATTCACATACTATGTTTTATGTCAAAATGTAGCGTTTTTCTTGATTAATTTTTTAATAATTACTGTAAAATAACGACATGTTACATGTTTCAATCAACTTTTGTGTTAAGTTTATTCACATTCTTTGGTTAATGTCATAATGTATCACTTTTCTTAATACTTTTTGTAATTTTTTACGATAATATAATAGACCCTCAATTATTTACGTGCACGAAAAGAATATTAAATACCTGGTTTTATTGCAAATCCAGATATAATATGATTTAAAAATTGTTTGTGTGTCCCCATTAAAAGTTCGATTAATTATAAAAAAAAAGATGTGACGGTTTTTTTTGACAAAATTAACCAGTTTAGTTAACCAAGGAGTTTTGAATACAGTTTCCGAGAGTGATCCGTTAAAATTCAGTAACAATTTCTCGGCCAATACTGATTCTAACAGTCAGAAATTATCAGGTAAATTTATATTATTACATTATATTTCCTTATTGATTTATTTTACTTTGAAGACATACCAGAAATAATGCACTATGAGATCGAAGAACTTGATATATTGAAAAATAGTGAAACTGGCATAGTCAATAAAGATGCTATTCTTTCAAAGAAAAAAGAGCAAGAAACTTTACATCATATTTCAATCGTGTCTAATGCAAACCAGAATATTACAGATAAATTAAAGTTTTGAAGTGATATTTTTTCTCTTAACTTAATTTTGGTTTTAGGTGTCCAGAATTTGGTTCTAGAAAAAACACAAAATTATTCATTTGCTTCATCTACTATGGTCTGTTTTTTAAACAGGAGGAGTAATTCAAATTTTCCGCGCCGTGATGCTTGTTTGTAATTGGTCTAACCGCAGGCAAGTTTACTACACTAAATTATGACGTATTGACACTAATGACATTTGTGAAATCTTAAAATTCAAAATTTATATCCGATTTTTTGCATTTTCTGCGTTATTCATTACATTTTTAGATTTTCATTTGCATTTATATAAAAATCAGTTTTTTCAGAACTATTTAGCGATATATTAGTGTTATTAAGATAACAATATGGATTCAATGAGTGGTAATTATTCTTCTCCAGCTTAAAAACGCCGAGTAGATTTGGGTCATTTATCATCAAATGAGAAACAATGTATTATAAACATTTAATTGATAATTCTGTAACATAAAATTGATAATTCTGGAATGAAAATAACAGTCACGGTAATAAAAAAAAAATGCAGCAGGTCAGTTTTGCAGAATAGTTATTGTTAAAATCAAGACTTACTAAAGTAATGTACTAATTTTAGGTGTTGCTAATTCAACTATTTACCGAACAATTAAAGAATAAGCAGACTGGAACAGTAAGAAATTCAAAATAATGTAGTTGTTCATGAACCTCACCAAGACATAAATGGAGAAAATATTTTGGAAGACTACTAAAAATATTAAATTTATATTTTTACATTCATCCGTATATTATACACAGTATATTATTTTCCTCTAATATATAAATCGATTTCTGACACTTTAAGTTGTTTGTAATAACTTGGACTTGGTAATATGCGAATAGTATTAAATGTATTTAGTATTTAATACTAAATATAGTTTAAAGTGTTTATAAATTTATAAATGTATCTTATTTATATCTAATTATCATAAGAAAAACGGCAACTATCTTTTAAATTTAGTGTATACTTGTTAAGAAACATTTTCATTTTGTTTTCATCACAATAAAAGAGCATTAGTAAAGTAATGTGTTTTAGTTTAATTTTATTGATACCGTTGGTTTTGTTCTTCCTATTTGTAGATAATCAAAGAAAACTGCAAAAATATGCTATAATGTAACATAATAGATTGAATTTGTTAATTATCTCACAGAAATCCAGTATTTTTAGTAAATTTTAGTTATTGATAACAAATGGGACAAACTCAATGTCAAAATTAAACAAGAATCCAGCATTAAAGAAATTGTAAGTACACACTTATTTTAACAAAGTATCTTTTTGCATTTGAGTGCTTCAAATAATAGAACCTAAAGATATTGATACATGAGTTAAACAAATGTATCTAATGAGGTAACTGATTACCATGCATGAAAAATAGGACTACACTTATATTTAAACCATAATTTATTCTGTGATGGGAAACATGAAAAAATGAATTCTAAAGCAGTGAATGGGAAGGAATATGTAAAACAAATTGGCTGAAGCAATTCAGGAGATTGGATTATTAAGTTTAAAAATAATGATCAAAGTCAAAGTTAACTCTTCTGGTAAGAAAAAAAAAAACTAGATTCAAGAAATTGATCACACCATAATAAGAATATGGTCGAGGCAGTTTCAAAGAACAGTATTTCAGAAATCTTTTAACTCTCTCTAACTTTTTGATACATGCATTTGCATAGGTTTGTTGCATATAAGATCTATTTACAAATTAAAAGACAAATTTCTGTAAGAAACCATACTTAGATCTGTAACATTATTGACTCTCCGGATCAAAACATTCTCTAAATTATAATTAAATACCCTAGACTCAACCACCAGAGATCTATAAAACTGGATCATATGATATTTAAATATATATACATGGGACCAAATGTGAAAAACGTACTTATTTTATTGCAATAATTGTAATATAATTGAAAGTAAATTGAAAAAAATTATTATACAAACATAAATAGACAAAGTAAGGTTAAAATTGACGTGTAAGGTGGTCCGATATTGATTACTCGATTACCGCAAGGCCGAGATAATCAACAAAAAAAAGAAGATGTATTTGGTGACTTTTCTAGTAACTTTCTTGGGTGTGAATCTGTCTTTTCGGTTTACTCCCCCTGGTTAAAAAACAGAGTATAGCAGTTCATCTTTTTTATCGAACTCTTCGTCAAGTTCTTCAACAAGTAGTAGTGACTCATTAGATTCTTAAAATGAACCGTTTGGATCTGATGACGGTGCTAAGGATCCATGCTATATTAAATCGTAATCATATTCTGATAATATTGGTTCAAGTAGAGAAGTAGAAAAAATTAAGTTGTCAAAAAACAGAAAATTACTTGATCCGTATAAAACAGAAAAAAAAAACGATTAAGAAATTAGGGCTTATGGCAAAAATATATAGCAAAACAGTTGAGAAATAGTGAAAAAAGTTATGTTGGCTTAAAATAAATTATACAGAAAATCAAGCCGTATTTACGTTCCCGATCAGTATGCTTGTATTATGAGATCAGCAACAAAAACTGGAAAAACATACAAAGTAAACGAACTTTGTTTTAAGGACATTATGGATTTAAAAAAATTAGCTTCTGACTTGTTTGCGAATATCTTTGTCATTTTACAATAATTTGTAATGATTTAGGCCGTCCGCACATGAAGCTACTAAAAAGAAACTAAAACTAGTTGGTAACTAGAATTATCAACTGTTTAGTAACTGTGACTCGCACACTACGCTACCGAAAATTAATAGAAACTAGTCACTTCTTGCCTGTACGAGTAGCTTTGTTATAGGGTGTTTAAATTTTAACCTTTATATTATATTATTGAGTGTTATTATCGCGTTAAAAATGTCTAGTGACTCAAGTGATGAAGATATTATTCTTTATTATTATAATAGAAGACGTAAAATGCAGAAAAAAATTAGGTATTGGGTTCATCCCTACATTGCAAACAATATAAATTGAAGAGCCTTTGTTGTTGCAAAAGCATTACAAGAAAGTGATGCTAAATTTCTTGCATTTTACAGAATGTCAAAAGAATCTTATTTACATTTAGTACAATTGCTTGTACCGGCTATTCAAAAGACAAACACTCCTGTTAAATTTAATTCTCTTCCTATATCATTCCAAGCCTTTTCGGTAATGTCTTTACGCGAATATTCATTTAACGTATAGTTGTATAGGCAGGGATATTTTTCCACTTCTTGCACTAATTTTATATTAAACGACTGTTCTACCAATTTCGCCATTTCGCGTGTTAAAAATATCACAAGATCACAACAAACTAGAAACTCACCAGAAACTAGTCGCCAAGCGACCTGCACGTCCAGTCTGCTGTCGACTGATCACTGATGCATTAGTGACCGGTTACTAACTAGTAGCGTTGTGTGCGGATACTGATAAAAATACATGGGCAGTAACTAATAAGCGACTGGTTGGTAACTAAAGTTACCAACTAGTTTCTTTTTAGTAGCTTCATGTGCGGACGGCCTTAATTTAATTCTTTTTATGATTTTAGGTGTGTATTCAATAATTATCAATTAGATTAATAATGTTACAGATTATAAACATTTACTAATTTTTAATTCAAAACCGTTGCATGTATTTTTTTATAACAATAAATAAACAGTTTGAAAAATCACAATTGTCATTTAATTAAAACCGACTTAGCCTACTTATTTAAATAAAAAGCAAAAAATTCTATTAATTAATGATTAGGAAATAAAACAAAATAACTCCTAAAAAAACTTAAAACCCTTCTCCTGCAAAAGTAGTTTTTTTGAGTTGTAACCCTTTTCTTCCGAACGATCAATTTATTATTTTTTTGCATAAAATGCTGAATTTAAGAAAATATGCAATTACATATTGTTACGAAAATGCTTTCGGCATGGCCTATGTAACGGTTGCATCTCGAAAAGGCGCCGAGAACCTTCGCGATGTATCGAGTGCGAGAGAGAACAATCCGTCATGTAGGCGAATTAGAGGTGGGATCTAGAACATAGTAACTTTAGTATATATACGTAACGATGTTAGGAGTAAGTTTAGTTGATAAGATAGTACCGAACTGTAAAGTTATAAAAAATATATTTATATAAATTCGAACCGCTCGTTTTATTTAATCTCGCTACAATATATTATAAAACTATATTCTTGTAGTGATACCAATAAAGATGAAAAAGTAAAATATATTTTCCCAATAAAACTAGACGGTTTAAAACTTCAACCAGCCATATCTCAAAAGTACCTTCCTGCTTACATACACCCTTCTTTCATGAAAATGTTTAATAATTATTTTGGAAGTACTCACCTTCTCCTGTTTCCTCTAATTTGTGTAAGACAAGGCACATTTCCCCTGCCTCTGGATCATATGGTTTAGTGTCATTAAATTCCTGCAACTAAAAATTAAAAATATTATTCACCGATTCAAATATGTACACGATATTATTAATTGTCTGATACACGTCGCTTGCTGAATTTAATAATAGCACAACTAACAATTTTTTGTTTCTTTCTTGCACTGGTTTGCAAATTGACTGAATGAATTTTTATCCTATGCCGCCTAAAACATTTACTGTGTAATGAGATATACGCTGACAACATATATCCTAATCCTTTATGACCACGTGATAGGAGGTAAACCCTAGATTCGTTACGTTCTGTCTCTACTGAAGGTTTGTTCAAAGAAATAAAAATTGTTTTACTGGCAGTTGCTGAGTTTCTTATTGTCACTTTGGATTGGAAATAAAGTCCAATATATTATAAAGGCAGCATTTAAGAATTAAAAAATAACATATCAGAACACGGTCAATGAGAAAACGAGTATTAGTGACACTTAGCTGCATGTTGGTAGGATTTGAATACTCGACAGAATGTTTTTAAAGTGTACTTTTTTGTGGTCCCATTTTATGAAAGAAAGAATAGAAACAAAGAATACTTCGTCACAGAATTAGGCTCAAATGCGAAAATCTCGAAGAAACCCAATTTGGTTTTAGAAATGATATGAGAACAATGAGTTTTGCGCTAAATGTTCTATTACAAATATGCCGTGATTAAAGAAAAGAGTCTGCATGCTTTGTGGATTTCGACAAGGCATTTGATAAACTACAGCATGTAAAATTAATGCAGATAGAAAAAAATATAGGAATAGATGATAAAAACTCGTGTTGTTCGTTGTTTATGGCAATTTTATATCTTATTTAAATGAAGAAAACTAATCCTTGTTAAATATATTTTTTTTATATCTTTTTTCCGTTTACATTAACAAACTTATGACTGATTCAAGGATTAAATTTAATTCCTATTGCCAAATGAGATTTAATGTGAGTCGTTTAGTAACTTTTAGCACAGATAAAACTGAATTACTTAAACAATTTTTGGTACGAACCAGTACTAGTAATAAATGGTACATCTTACTTGAATATTTATTTCCATAAAATATAAAACATATTATGTTCAAGTAAAAACTAACATTACATATAATCTAATTTTAATCATCTATGTCATCTTCAGATTCATCACTAGTATCTTCACCTAGATCCACAAGTACTGGTTACATGGTAATTTCAATGAAGATATTAAGGTTTCACATATTCTGCTCTTCTTTCACTACATGTTCGATATGAGGTTACATTGATGAACGCGCTATTAAGCTGATTTTTTATATAATTTAATTTGAAAGAAACATTGTTCCATTCTACTTCATTTTTTATTTGAGGCCATATAAGTTCTATTGGGTCTAACTCAAATGGTACGGCGGCAATCGAACTACAGTTACGCCTCGTTCTCGCACCATTTCATTTACTACATATTTAACATATTTATGTTTGACACCGTGCTAAGTTTATTAACTCGATTGTCGAAATTGGTTCATTGAAGTTAATATATTTTTTAGTAAGCCAATCAGCAATCTAGGCTTTTCTCCATTTAGTGGTTAGTAACTATTCTACATGCTGGCAGTGATATGGAGCATCATCTACAGCAATAACAGAGCAGATCTCCTCAAAGCAATCTGCAGTCTTTTTAGAAACAAATGCATTTAAACCTCCTTCAACTAATCCTGAGTTGTTACTAATATTACTAATAATAAGGCGCCTTCCCTTTCCATCTGGGGCTTTTAAAATTGTCGACAACCATCTAAGAAAGTTTTTCGTTTGTTTCTCACATTTAAATCCTACCAAATTTTTGTTACAGTATGTCCTTCATTTAACCATGTTTCATCTGTATAATATGTTTTTTCCATCTCTTCGAAATTCTGCCATTTGTTTCCAATACTTTCTGCGCCATTAAATGAGTTCTTCTTTTTCAATAGGGGTACCATTCCTCTTTCTCTTTAAATACCTAAAGTTCATTTCACGTAACGTACGTAACAAAAAACGTCTGTTATATACGTCTACATATTTTTTGAATATTTTCATTAGATTAAAGAGAAGGAACAGTTTTTTTATAGATGGTAATTCCTTTTTGAAATAAAATTCATGTACCTACTGCACGACGAATAACCTATTTGGTCAATATCATCAAATTTTATTTGCCTCGATCCTCTTGTCTCAACCTTCAAAGCATTATTATCATGTTTTAATTACTCTGTATACACTAGCTTTGGAAAATACTAGATAATGTAACTACATCGCTTACATTCATATTTTCTTTTCGGGCTCTTTCAAACACATTTCTGATCATAGTTTTTTCTCCCGTGTTAAATTGTGACGTTTCCTTTTTTAATATACGGTTCACTATTACTACTGTCAGTCATATTTATTGTAAAACATTTATTATTCGTCATCAAATTGAATTAAACTGAGTTACTCACAATTCACAAAAAAGTAAACGTAAAAGCGTCTTCCACTGATAATACTACAAACAATTCTGTTTTCTGCTTTATAAAATCACTGTCGGTACGCTTATGAAACCGACTTACAGATAACATACAATAAAAAAGCTACCCGAACAATGGTGTTGTTGCCAATTACATCGCCTTAATTTGCGACGACATTTTTGATCTCAAACCGTATCTATCATTAGAAAAATATATCTGTACCCCGGAGGTAAAGGACACTATGTCCATTTTCTTACTTTTTCAGGAGAGCAGTTGTAATATTTTTTAAATTTTTAATCAGTAAATACTTAAATGTTTCTTATATTTAACCAAGATTAATATATTATTATTGTTGTGTATATAATCGTTTTTCCTTCCATTATATAATTGAAGTCTACCGTTCATTTTATAATTTTTTTTTAAATGTGTAGTTAGACATTTGTTGTTTACCTCTAACAACTTTTTTAAATAATTTGACATGACATAATAGTTAAGTAAAATTATAGACGACAAGTCTCAAAATTGTTGAAGAGGCTCCATATCATCTTCATCTTCTTGTTAGTAATCGTTTATGGCTACATTGATACGTGTTAAATTTTGATAAAACCCATGACAAGCCGACGGAACAAAAGGCAATAGTGCAATTAAGTCATTGCAATTTGTTTTGTGATTGGTAATGCGATTACTGAGACTTGATTTAATTGGGCTGGAAACGTTACTTGCTGCCTTCGATACCTCATAAGTCCACCTCATACAAATTTTGATTATTGAAATCGGTCTTATAAAAGAGCTTTTCAATGTAAGTTCCATATTGTGCACTGTGTATTTACCTGATGTTTGATTAACTAGCTGTTGCCAGTTCCATGGTGTTAAAATGACCAAATTGAGTTTCGTTTCTTTTTCTCTCGATCAAAGCATGAACACTGTCTGCTTCCATGTGTGTGTTTCAGTAAAAACTTTTAAGTAATCGTCATTATTTGAGGGTACGTATGAAGTATTAAACGTAATATTATACGTAATTATTATACGTAATTAAATCTAGCCCAAGTACTTTCGCTAAAAATAACATCTTCAGGGGCATCTGAAATAAGCCAAGAAAACGTTTTTTAGATGAAGTAAATTATTAACTCCGATAAAAAACTCGAAGTTAATGGATGAAAAAAAGTGTTTTTGAGATTAACGTTTTAGACTTACTTCGTCAAAATGTGAACTATCTGGCAAGCGTAGAGTGTGGAAACGTTAAAAATAACATAAATTGTACAAAACACTACACTAAAACGAGGACAAACAGTTTAAAATTACTTCTACGCTATATTCTCTGTCAGTATCTGGAGGGATAATGATCTAAGCGGAAATGATACGGTGACATGTGACATATGACAACTTTGATAGGCAGTCAAAGTTATGGATCTGTGATCAGCAAATATTAAAATTCTGTATAAGTTGTCATTGGCCAAAGGTCCAACTGGAACTACTACTGAAAAAATCAGCTGATGAAGTATGACATATAGAATATTTTGATTTAAACTAGATTGCATAATCCAGATCTCACACTCACACCCGTCTGTAATAATAAGGTTGTAGGTTTGAGGCTAAATGAAGTGTACTGTGAAGTGTGAATGAAAGAAATAGACCAAACGATCTATTGGACAGTGGGTAGTTGACTACAATAAAATGGTCTACCAGGTACTGTCAATACTGCAAAACGAGAAGAAAATTGACTATGAAATTGAAATATTAAAATTAGATCAGAATTGAAAGCAGTGTTGAAATATTAAATTCTGATCTAATTTTAATATTTCAATTTCATAGTCAATTTTCTTCTCGTTTTGCAGTATTGACAGTACCTGGTAGACCATTTTATTGTAGTCAACTACCCACTGTCCAATAGATCGTTTGGTCTATTTCTTTCATTCACACTTTATGTACACTTCATTTAGCCTCAAACCTACAACCTTATTATTACAGACGGGTGTGAGTGTGAGATCTGGATTATGCAATCTAGTTTAAATCAAAATATTCTATATGTCAAACTTCATCAGCTGATTTTTTCAGTAGTAGTTCCAGTTGGACCTTTGGCCAATGACAACTTATACAGAATTTTAATATTTGCTGATCACAGATCCATAACTTTGACTGCCTATCAAAGTTGTCATATGTCACCGTATCATTTCCGCTTAGATCATTATCCCTCCAGATACTGACAGAGAATGTAGAGTAGAAGTAATTTTAAACTGTTTGTCCTCGTTTTAGTGTAGTGTTTTGTACAATTTATGTTATTTTTAATGTTTCCACACTCTACGCTTGCCGGATAGTTCACATTTTGACGAAGTAAGTCTAAAACGTTAATCTCAAAAAACACTTTTTTTCATCCATTAACTTCGAGTTTTTTATCGGAGTTAATAATTTACTTCATCTAAAAAACGTTTTCTTAGCTTATTTCAGATGCCCATGAAGATGCTATTTTAAGCGAAAGTACTTGGGCTAGATTTAATTAGCTTGTGCTCGATAATAGCCTTATTTTCAAAGTTCATTTATTCGAGCATTCAACCTCATTTCATTTACTTATGTATTTATTTT